GGGAAGGGAAGGGAAGGGAAGGGAAGGGAAGGGAAGGGAAGGGAAGGGAAGGGAAGGGAAGGGAAGGGAATCTCTTCAATTTTGCATATGGAATCCTTAGACAGTACATTCCTAGACTGTAAAGAGACAAGACAGATCATTGTGATGTTCTTGTTCAGAATATGACTTGCATCCGCCAGGAGAGTATTTAGCCAGTATACAGCTCTGAGTTCTTTTTTCTAATGTTATACCAAGCCTAAATAAACTCATGTTAAGAAGACTTTGTTGAAAGTCAAGCAGGCACAGGTGAGAAAGTCAATACAATTGGTGAAAAGCTTTCCTTCTCCTTCAAAAGCCATGTGACTCACATCGTTTGAAAACAGTACAAGAGTTCAACAAAAAATGCTAATAAGTTGGAGGTTGAAAATTGTTCATTTGTTGCAGCTAGTAAAATTAAATGTACCCTGTGACTGTCCACACTAATTGTCTCTGCTTAGGCTTTGTCTTTTACTGGGTTTTTTACTTTACTGGGGTAGTGGAGGAAACATGATCATAGTCCACATCAAGGGAATGAAAATAAGGATTCTTTTTATGGAATGACTGTTGTCCTCAAGTCTGAATTTAGAAGATATTAAGTCTACTCAGGCCAATTCTTCCAATAGCATAAACTTGTGTAGGCCTAGCCGAATCAAATTGACAGTATCAGTTTGTGCCTGTTGAGGTTCTGGATTTACTACGCTGAAATATTGATATGTACAATTCTTGGTACAGAAGCTGTTTGAGGCACAAGAATGCACAGGTTTATGGGTACACCAACATGCTATTGTAAAGCATGGACACATGGCATATCTATTACTGTAGCAGCTCTGCCCCTATACTGCTCTTACACTGTTACCTCACAGCAAATGAGAGGTTCTGTACCTCCATCACCAAGCAAGCTACCTCCTTTGTGGCTGAAGTAGTCTGGGGCAGATGTCCCAGACTAGCTCCTTGCAAGTTGATCCTTAAACTACTTACCATTTGGCCATTAATCCAGACCTTGTTTTCCTGGTTCAATGTAACAGAAATACCTGTACAGACTAGAAAATAAAACAACTCTTTGGTCTCAAGGAGCTTACCAAAACCACCAAATATATTTCACAGATTTACAACATCTTGCTCCTGTCACACCAAATGCCATCACACCTCTTGAGACAAATCACCTGCCAAGGTTCATTGGTCATTTGACATATTTTATAGCTCTGTAACTTCCCTGGGACTTTGAATTTACTAACTTAGCACAAGCAGGAAAAAACCAGGATATTCAGCTACAAATAAGAACATTAATTCTCCCCTGTAACGACGAGCTGCCTTAAGGATAAGCCTTTGGTAATGCAAAAAATAGCAGTCAAGTAAGATCTTTGTTTACTACAAATATTTCATTGTCTGTGCTGTAGAAAGCATACCTCCATCATTTACTTCTCCACCTATCTCTACAACACTGAGGCCAGTACCTTAACAGAACGGCAACTTGTGTTTCTGATCCCTCACAATTTTCCACCTACAGTGGATATTCCAGAAGTCTTCACAAGACACGAGTCTTTACATGAATCACAGCACATTCAGTCCCCTGGGATGATCCTGACACCACAAGAGAGATCTGAAGTACAGAAGAATAGGAAAATTGTTCTTACTACAATTACTTTTAACCAGAAATGGCAACGTCCTGCCCAGCTGACTTTTCGTAGAGCGTCACCTATAGTTTGCAAGTTTAAGTGCCCAGGATATGGGACAATGTTTGGTATTTCATGAACATTGCAAAGTTAAAAATTTTTATTTAAAAAGAACTTCATTTAAAACAAAAATAGTAAATGGCACATCATGTAATTGCTATTTATTTTCATAAACATGAGGTATTTCAAAGTGCTATAAGACGCAGCACTAAATGTACATCGTTGGAAGAAATTAAACACAGAACTTTGCAGTTACCCAGTTCTATGCACCAAACATTAACAAATACATTAACTGGAAGAAACAGGCTAGGAAAAGGCATATATAGTAAATTTCTTTACAAAAGTTTCTTAGTTCAAAAAAGTGATAAAGTAATATCTACTCAAAACTTTCACAACTCATTTTCATACGAAAATATAAGTATCAAATTTAGTTATGTATCAGCATCATACTAAAGTATACAGGCAATGTAAGAATTAGTACAGTACATAACAGAGATTAACAATATATTTGTATACAAAAACATGCTCCTCAAACATTGAGGTATTAACAGTACTTAGGTATGAACTTCCAGTCTAATACTGGTAGCAAAAGCCACCTCTCATAACCCAAGACATGTACAAAAGGCAAGTGTGTAGATGGTATTTACAGAAAATTCCCACAGGGGTATAAAATGCCAACCCCTAAAGTAACATCTGTTAGAACATAAGCACCATAAAACTTAGGAATGAACATTTTTAAACTCAATTAGATGTCATCAGCAGCTCCAAATGCTCACAACAATTTTTTAAAAAAAAAAAAATCCCCACCATCTACAGTTGTTATGAGGAAAAACAAAGGCAGTCCATTGTTGTTTGGTAGTCTTGCAATAAACTCCTTGCAAGAACATCCATTTGCTCCGTACCCGGATAATATAATCTGTCAATTACTTCAGGGACTGGATTGAAAGCAAAACCAACATTCTTAACGTCAAAAAAACACAATTTTTTTTTAAAGAATCAAAAATGTGCAAAGTGGCAATGACTGTCTTGGTCAGCCAAAAAAAAAAAATGAACCAACCAAAACGATAAAAAGTTTAGCAAGTCCGCTTGTATTCTATTTTCTTTAGCAATTGTTGTTGTCTGGCTTGCAATTTTTCCTTTTCTAGCAATAACTTCTGCTCCTCTGCCTGAAGGGAATGAACATATTCAGTGGCTTTTTTCAAGATCACAACTTTTGCAGCTTTCTCATTTTTAACCAGTTCCGGAACATGGTCCCTTAATGTGAGGAAACTTGACCGTAGATCATTACGTCGTTGACGCTCCAGGATATTATGGTTGCGTCGACGTTCACTATCCTCTGAATCAGAGTTTCGAGGACTTGAACTCTTAGACTTTGGTTGGATCGTGGGTTTCACTGGACGGGGCACCTCGGTTTTTAACTTTTTCTGTGGTGGAGCATCTTCACTTTCCATGTATGGAGAAGGAGCGGCATAATTATGCTGCTGGTGAATTGGTGCGCAACGCTTTAAAATTAGTTCATTCTGCTGTGTCCTGACTGATGGAAAAGTGGTATTTTTAGGACGTACTGTAATAGTAAGGGTGGTAACAGCCTTGTTGGAGGAGGAGCGTCTTTTCTCCACTGTCACAACATCTATTTCTTCTTCTTCATCCTCTTCCTCTTCATCTTCATCATCTTTTGGTAATAGAAAATAGAAAATAAAATAGACATTATTTTCACTGAAAACACTGCGAACAAGCATCGGTCTGGATGTATTTATTGACAAAATATGTACAGTAAAAGCAGCAATAAAATAACTGATGGCAAAAACAGGGTGTGCCCACCATCTGTAGTCAGATGTAGATCTGGAAAAGTATGTACAACATACACTAAATGACTGAAGAATGAGGCTTTCTCTAAGTTTAGTAAGTTTAATGAGGTGGGGGGGGGGGTGTTTTGAAACACTTCTAATTTTCAGTCAGAGTGGGGCTACCATCCCACTGCAGCAGTTTTAGACAAAATGTATGTATTTTGAAAGGAATCGCAGGCCTGCAGTACAAAAGGCACGCAGAGTGCCACAACACAGCCTTTGCTTGGTGGAAAAGCAGCCGGAAAACCGAAATAATCGCGGGGTTTGTTCTGAGGCAGAAGGTGAAGCTGCTCCAGCCGGGGACCCTTTAAGCCGGCGCTTGGTGCACTGCCAAGAAGACAGCTGTTGGAAGTGCTTCCTCACCCAAAGCTGTCAAACCAGACATTAAAGGGACAGCAGGCTTTGAAACCCGGGACGGATCACCAAGTTTCTGGCGACGGTCATGCGGACCAGCCCATCTACACACGCGAAACCACTGCTTCAGCCCCAGCGGAGCTCTCTGCGAGCACACACAGGAGACGCTTTTGGGCGTTTTAGGCTCTGTCAGTGCAAGTGCCGCCCCGAGGGGTCACGGGCCTGCTTCCAGCCTTCCGAAACGACGCCTAAGGGCACACACGGTCACCCCCACGACACACATCCGCAGGCTGGTG